CGACACCTACGAGGATAAGCCACAAGGTCACACGCCAACTCGACTTTCGGGTTATTTCTGGTGTTAACATCCTAGAAGTTGACCCCCAAGTCCGGGTCTCACTATACGCCCCTTTGTCGGCAGAGTGTTCACCGCGCTTCGCCACATTGGCATCCAATTGCTGAGTCATTTCGCCTACACGACTGGCCACGAAGGCATCGACAGCTTCCGTCTCCTCTTTGTAACGCTCTTGTACACTACGCAGATAATCCAACTGCACCATATCTTCCGACAAAATACGCACTCCTTAAGTCCCCAGCAGTCGATATAGTTCGTCTACTATGTTCGTGTTCTTCACCAGCGCTTTCTGCTTGGCCTTGAGACTCTGTACACGCTCCACATGACCTGCAAATTACTTCAGATGCTGAGGACGCCGTAGTAATGAATGAATCCGCTGTTTGTACTCTCCCAGCTGGGGCTTGCACCTTGCATGCGCCAAGTCCTTCACTATACCTTTCATCGCGTCCAGTGCAGCTGTCGTCATCGGGATCAACGTCTGCTTTAACTTGCGGCTTTCCTTGCAGTTTCTCCATCGAAGTGAACACTTTCTCGCCCATACTCATGGCTACGGTGTACTTCTGCTCAAAGTTACAGTCACCAGGGATCGGTACGATCACCAACACGGCCAACGAATTGGCCAAAGGCTTTGGTAGCATGGCCTGCGATCAGCAAAGTAGCCACAGAGAAAATAGTCTCCATCAGTACGGCAGCGACCAGCAACGCGGCCACAGCTTACACCAGAAGTCACGCAACGCGGTCACAGTATTCACCGGTAAGCCACACAACGTAGCCTCTGTTTCTATCTACACGAGCAACAGCGTGGACATGCTCTCCGCAAGAACAACTGGTAACGCTTGAGCTCAGTAGCTTAGGGCAACAAAACACACCCATAACACGTCCACACCACTCAACAACACGTCGGTAACGCGTCCTCCCCATGTAGTCGGAATTTCCACGTACGTTATCTCATTGTTTTTTCTTCTTCTTTCCATTAACAGTGTGGTGTGCAGCACATTGCGTAAGAACTGAACCAACGCGTAAAAACGTTCCAACGCGTTGGTAAAAAAAACAAAGCCACGTTGCTTCAGATGTCGCAGCGTTGCTGGTGCCAACACTGGCCAAAGGGAGGCTGGCCGCCTCGCCTCCGGCATCACCACCAAGTTTTAGGGGCTCTTTTCTGCTCCTACGTGAACAGTGTACAAGAAGGGCTGCTCTGTGTTCAGTTCGGGGCTCCGCCAGCGACAATGTCTCGAGTAATTACGGCCGCAGAGGCTGCTCTCTCCTCCGCGCTTAAAGACTTCGCCCCAGCTCGCATCGTATGGCCTTCCCTTGCCAGACAAGAAGCCTTAGCGAAACTGGTATCTCGTCGTGGCACCGCCCTCCTCAGCACCCGAGACCTCGTAAGCTTCACGCGCTCCTTTCATCTTTACAAGAGTCTACAACATGTAACAATCGCGAAAATTGTTAGTGCAAGTAACACAGTAGCTACAGTATCTCACCCACCGACGTGATATCACGGAGAACCTTCAAAATGCTAGGCCGAGCCGGCTTGGGATTTATACTTACAGAACCTTTCATAAGCGTTAGATGCAGCCCATTAAGTGGCAGATACGAGCCTTGTGCTCGGCAAAGGTTCTCACACATACGCTTACCTTACAACAGGAATGTCAAATGAGAAATGGAAGCTCACTTCGCGCTTGATTTTCGCGCCTAAAGACGGATCGCACATCTTCAATTTCGAAATAGTGAGTTTGAGTCTATATCCATTTCAAGATGTTTTTACTTCAAGTTGCTCAATAAGGGTGCTATCAAAAACGTGACAGTAGCGCGCTCGCGATCTCGAAAAGTTCGTAGAGAGTTTCACCACGTCTGAGGATCTACGGTCTAACAGCTCTTAAAAGTCTTGAGGACCCGGATTGACCTAATGCGCGACAGCAGCGTTTGC